CCTTTTGAGAAAGACCACTATTTCTTTCACAGAATGCATGATCCAACTCTTTTCATCCCATTTCTTTGGCTGCCTGGAGATCTTCATCCTTATCCTCATGGCTGTTGACTGCTATGTGGCCATCTGTAAACCCCTGCACTACATGACCATCATGAGCCACCAAGTCTGTGGTGTGTTGGTGGCCGTGGCCTGGGTGGGCTCCTGTGTGCATTCTTTAGCTCAGATTTTTCTTGCCTTGAGTTTGCCTTTCGGTGGCCCCAGTGTAATCGATCACTATTTCTGTGACTTGCAGCCCTTGTTGAAACTTGCCTGTTCAGACACTTATGTGATCAACCTACTCCTGGTGTCCAATGGTGGTGCCATTTGCACAGTGAGTTTTGTCATGCTGATGTTCTCATATGTTGTCATCTTGCTTTCCCTGAGGAACCACAGTGCTGAAGGGAGGAGGAAAGCCTTGTCCACCTGCATCTCCCACATCATCGTGGTCATCTTGTTCTTTCGTCCATGTATATTTATATACACATGCCCTGCAACCACCTTTCCCATGGATAAGATGATAGCTGTATTTCATGCAAATGGGACACCTTTGCTCAACCCTCTGATTTATACACTGAGGAATGCAGAAGTGAAAAATGCCATGAGGAGGTTATGGAGCGAGAAACTGATCTCAGATGAGAGAAGATGAATGCAGGTTTAAAATCCTTCTTCATACTTTGAATTGACCTAGAAGAAGTCAGTACAGAATGTTATCTTTTTGTTGACAATTAAATGTAAATACATCTTGGGTGAATTTTTTTCTGAAAAGAGAATGTGAACACAAACACTGGTTAATGCTGAGTCATTGTTATGTAGAATAAGAGACAGCACAAAGTACAAAAAGGTTTGTAGGGCCCAGTGCCTTACATGATGTTCACTGCCGTGTCTCTGCCTCTGCTTAATGTCACTTATGGTTTTGATCTGTTGTTTTTTCTGCCCTTCTCCATGTTGATTTCTGGAGTTCTCTCCTAATAGTTATTCAAGTGTACACACATAGTTTATATCTGCAGCTTGATAGGTTTCTCCTCTTCCAAACTTTTTCCCTTATTAGACACTTTGGCCTCATCATGTCTTATCATCAACTTAGTTGATCTTCCTAACTCAGCAGAAAGCAGCAGTTTCAAATAATTGTGGAAACTTCATGTTGTAAGGGACAGTATATACGAAGGTACTTCAAAATTTTGTGGAAAAATAAAATCAAAAAATAATATGAATTTTTTTTTTGTCTTTTTTATTTTGTGACCAGTAAGGGGATTGCAACTCTTGGCTTGGTGTCGCCCGCACCGAACTCAGCCAGTGAGTGCACCAGCCATCCCTATATAGGATCTGAACCCACCTTGGGAGCACCGCTGCACTCCCAGCACTGCACTCTCACAAGTGAGCCACGGGCCGGCCCAATAATACGAATTTTTTTCATGAAATTTTTGAAGTACTCTTTATAACCTAGTTAATCTCTTTTCCAATTCTTTTGATTATACTCTGAAATTTTATCATGTGGTTACTGAGATCTTTCTAGAAAAGTAACAAATTGTGGAGAAAAAATTCGCTCCTCTGAAAGAGTCCTTGATTTTATGAAGGTTCTCACTGTTGGGGTTGTTTTCATATCATAGTCTTTCTTTAAAATTTACTTTTTGCTCCTAATTTGATCCCAGCTAAGTTTTGGGGTGCAGTAAAGTTTCTCTTGAATTATAACAATTCTAGTATTGTTTATAATATAGGTCTATTATATTTATAGCATAGATAGCTCAAATTAAGGTAGAGATATTTGTGTGGAGTAGAAACAAAGAATGCAGTTACTTGATGGTAGAAAATTTGAAAATATTAGCAGATACAACAAAGAATGTATAACTCAAAGGGATATTTTAAGGCTTTGAAAGAGATGTAGTTACATCACAGCTATAAATTATGCTAGGGAGTTTTCAATACAATCCAGAAGAGAGCAACTTGAATAGAGAAGATGGCAATGTTTAAATGAATAGTATATTTCTGCAATGCACTTTGTCACTATCCATCAACACCACAGTCTCTAATCACTAAAAATTTTTCTGATTTCAATTTGGTTTCTTATTTGTATTTTTCTATGTAGATAATTAAGTTTAAGGTTTTTTTTTTTATTTGGGACTTCCATTTATATTTATAAATTACTAAATTATGTTAAAGTTTCTGAGTTTATATATTTTTTACACCAGGAACATCTGACTTGTTTTACCTTGAGAAAATGATCATCTTTTTGTGTGTGTGTGTGAGAGGGAATAGAAGACTGTGAATTTCCACAATGATCTAGAGTGACATGCAAGCATCACGTTTTTTCACACTCTGTAAATTTCAAGTTGAAATCAGTCTTAAGTAGCTTATCATTGCACAGAAGGTGCAGTTTAGTTTTGCTATTGCAAGCGTCATCTATTAACTCAAGACAAGGAAAACATGAAAAGTGATTTATATTGAATTTAG